ATTTTGCAAAAAATAGCATTTTTTAAAGTGAATTTGTGGAAAAATTTGTGAACCGATTTTTATAAAATATTATTTAAAACAAAGTTCGATAATTTAAGCATACATGCGTGTTTAAAATTTTTCATTTGGTTTTCTCATTTAGGTACGGTGAGCCAAAATTAACCGGCGCGATACTAAACCCAACCCAAACTAACTCCAAGAGAAAGATAATCTATGCAAAAAAAAATAGGAGAATGTAAAGGATATACCAAAAGTCAGAGGGAAGAGAAACAAAAGTAATAGTAAAATTTCCTACATTAATATATGTATATAAAAAAAAAAAAATTTCTTTACAATGTAATTTAACGGAAATTTGGGTATTTTACCGCTCCGCCAAAGTAATCGGAATCGTGTCATTAATATTGCAAAAATTACATGTTAAACATCTTTATAAAAAAAGATATTTTAATAGTATTCTTTCAACTCAATTTAATAAATAGTTCGCACCACCGGTATCATTTCCTACATCTTAACAGACACACGCATTCATGTTCCAACGCCGGTAACAAATCCCGTACTCTCACCATGCCCATTACAATAAATACTAAATATACTCCTAGATAATTGTGAAAAATATTCGTGTGTGCACATGCTACTTGTCATCGGAGTTTTGAGAGTTGCACTTCAACACAAAATGTTTAAATTTTCTAAATTTTACTTCGCGAGACTTTCACGCCAGACACTTTTCTTTCTTTAGCTGTTATCCTTTTCTAAAGGACTCAAATATATATTTTTAAGCAAATAAATAGCAATCCTAGATATAAATAATTATCGCAAATAATATATGAGAATTTAAAATCATTATTTTAGGTCAAAAATTACCTTTTATTAAGCGTAAAACACAATAATTGCATACACAAGAAATTGATTTATAAAATTTAGCTCGACACGTTGTTGCCAGCTTACTCAATAATTAGTTAAAACACAATATTCTAATTAGGCTTTATATATACCTTTTCTTTATAATAACCAAAAATATATAATTGATATTTCTAAGAAAGAATCTTTTAAATTATATTTGAAATCAATCAAATCAAAAATAAATAAAGTAATTTATGATGTTTTGTAACGAAAATTGTATTTATAAACATAGTTGGCAATAACGATCACTTCGGCTTTTCATTCCCCCAAATTTCCATTCGGCTTTAATAGAACGACTTCAAGGCAATATCCGTCGTACCGTTTATACTTCAACGTTGTTCTTTCTCTAACCTATCGTTTTTAGTTTACAAATCCTTCGCTCAATATCAAATGAAGCCGGATTTAGCATGGCGTTTACACATAAGTGTAACTTAACATTGACAAAAAAAATTTACAAATATAAATTCCATTTTAGATTGATCCTTAGTATTAAATGTTTTATTGATTATTTTTCTCATATAAAATCAATTCTAACTTTTACATATGCATAGCTATAGCGAAATAATTAAGAAATCCACCACTCAACCGGTAACCCCCACACATAGCTGTCCCTCAAAATCATTAGTTGAGTGAAATAGCACTTTTAAAGGTATTTACTAAAGTTATGGTAGCAAAAGAGAGCACCAGCTGAAATACTTTTCGATGCGTTTTGCCCTAAAAGTAGACGACAAAGCAAATAACCCGAGTGGAAACATTCATATGAATTAAACGAGAACAAAATGGAGTATGGAAATTTTTTTTAACATCATATAACGATTCCTACAATATTTTACACTTGCTACACATTATTTTTATTTCTTATGAGCATATGCTTTCAAATGTCAACAATAATGTAATAAATATATATTCGAATATGCACTATGGTCCATGTGGATGAAATTCATGCGACAGGACGCCATTTCAGTGGGATTGCACAAGCACACATTTCTCTTTCTCACCAATATTTCGACCATTAGTATAGGATGAATAAGCATTTCATTTGTAACATTCACCCCCAAAAATAAAATATTCGATCTTGGTGCGAGTCACTCATTAAAAACCAACTAAACTGTACACATAAATCGTGCAAATATTGATAGATTTTATTTAAATTTAAAAATGTCTAACTTAACACACATTTTGTTCACTAATTAGGTAATTTAACACCAGTATTTTACAAATAAATTGCTGAAAAACGTTAAGCAAAAACACCGTACCTGCAATTGTGCCGTCTTCTTCTAAAGAAAACCTGTGTTGCCACTCTTCTTTAATATTACTGAAATATCAGCTACAGTGGGCTGTAATTAAACAAAAAGCAGCACTAACAGACCAACGTAATTAAAACGGAAACTACATAACTCGCGTATCGTAAGCGAACTAACAACTTATGTTCGAATATGCAACAGTGTAGGCTAGTCAGAACAATTGCTTTCCGTGCTTCTCTAATATTTCATATTTCGCATCCGTATGTTAATAATTTTACTACTTCTAAACGTACATACATATCTATATTCTATTGTGATGGTCAAAGCGCAATATTTTGAAAGTTGCCTAACATTTTGCTTCGTTTTATGGGAACGTACTCATACAAAATAATTCAAATTTATCTGTCGAAGCAAAGCGAAGCAAATCAGCCAAGAGAACCTTCAACGCATTCAAAGGCTCATTACGCTGGTGTAATCTCTAGTTACCCAGATTCAGCGCAAAGCAAATAGATCTCCCAAATTGTTTTAAAAACTGTTGTTTGATACAATCCATAAATAATCGTTTTACGAAAAACATTAACTTTTTAGAGGATCTTATATTAAATTTTTACTCAATCACGTTGACTAAGAAAAAAATTTAATGGCTACATTGCTGCACACAGCTGATGAATTGTCAAAATATTCTTATATTCGATTAATCGCTCGTGTTTTCGTAACATTCAACTTAAGCAAGTTTCAATATAACTTTATTGTAATTTAATTATTAGAACTAAAACTAAAAAGGATGTCATTATCTCCATCAAGCGGCATTGGGCGCTACTATAAACATTCTGCCAAAATTATCCGCTTTGTCCGATTGGGTTGTACAAATCGTCCTTTCTACCATGTTGTCGTTATGGAGGTATGTACGACTCAAAATACGTTTTGGTGTTTATTAAAGTGTGACATCTTTTGTAGAGGCGTAAAAATCAACACCAGCCAGTAATAGAACAAGTTGGTACTTATGATCCAATGCCAAATCAGAAGAATGAACGTTTAGTTTCATTTAATTTTGAACGTATTCGCTATTGGTTGGGTCGAGGGGCTCACCTGTCCACACCAACAGCAGAACTATTGGGTATTGCAGGTTTTTTGCCCATTCATCCACGCACTTATATGACCGCCTGGCGAAACAGGCAGAAAGTTGCCGAAGATGGAACAATTGAAGAAAAGGATCCAGTTGAAGCGTAGAAATAATTATTAATTGAATACAAGTCTAGTGAAATATTTAAAAATGTGTTTTAATTGATAGAAATTTAAGTTTAAGACAAATTGATACAGTAAAATTCCAATTTAGTCCCAGAATGGGGTGCACATAACAAACCCTATTAAGGATGTTCTTACAGCGACGGAAAACATTCCTGAAAAATTTCGGGGAATGAAGCCGAGTTGACAGTCCTTGGTCGGACAAAAATCCTGGTCCGTTCCGGTGCCGACTGTAGTAGAATGGCCTATTAGCGATTCTGTTTAACCGCCAAAAACACTATAACAACATAACAACATGATGAGTAATCCTGGAATATATTAGGAGAAAACGAAGTATTCTACAAACATCTGTTTCATTTAAACTATGTACATCAATTGACCCCAAATTCAAAACAGTTTTATATTATGTTTTCAAGCAAAAAGCCACCAATTATTTACTGTTATATTTAATTTCTTACAATAAAAATTTTGATTCAAATACAATAAAATTTTAAAAGCAACGAATGGTGATGATAATCTTTAGCTTATGTTCATAACAGCAGTGCAAATACTTCTTTTATTACGTACGTATTCTTCAGACATTCAAATATTTGACTTAAAATGCACAATAACAAGGTTTTTCCGATTATACGTAGCTCTTGTATTCGTGATTTCTAAAAACGGTATACTAAAATTTTATTTTTGATTCAATTTAATTCAGATTTGTGGGCTCAGAAACTCCGCGAAGCCAGCCATATATAAAGAAATGTTGCCATGTGAAATATATTTTTACTAGCTCTTTGTTCTTTGTGGTTTCTGTCTTTGTTTCATATGTTTTTTGTTGTTTCCCTCTTCAAGCTTCCGTTTAGTTTACATTCTTACATGAGTTTACTTTTTTAGGATATGCAAGCATTCACCTCAAGTAAAAAGTAATGCTGCAAATTGCCTCCAATAATTTAATCTTGTTTGGTGATACTATGAATAGAGTCCTTTGCTTTTGCAGCCACTTTATCAATAAATTCATCAGCAGCTGGAAAACGAAAGATATGGTTATTATTATATATCAATTAAAATAAATATTACTTCAATGTGAGATATATCGTGAGATGATTATATGGAACATGAATTTCTATTATATGGGAGGTAAGCGTGGTTGTAATCCAATTTTGCCCACTTTTGCACTGTAACATAGGCACGTCCATTGTCTAATTTTTATTTTGACTCATATAAAGTTCTTTTGCACCGTCCTGAATATAAAATTGAATGTCTCCGAAGCATTCAGTTGTGAGTTAGCGTACTTTTAGTACTTTTCATAAAAACCGTCATATGGGGAGTGGCCGGAGTTATTATCTGATTTCACCTATTGCAAGAGATGTTGAAGGTATTTGTCCTATATAAATTAGGGTGATATAGCTTTATTATTATATTTGGAAGATATATACTTCAAATCAATTACGAGGCGAAGCCACGCTAATATTTTAAGTATCCAAAAAAATCCGTAATACGATTCGTTGTACCAAATTATATTGTTTTGTACCATATCATTATTTTCGGCTTTCCGATTATTGACGTTTTGTGGGCGTGAAAGTGGTCTGATTACGCCTATTTGGGAACCAACAGTCCTCTGCGCATTTGCAATGGCGAGTACCACAGTCGGTGGAACGCTGTAAGCGATATATGGCGTCATTGACATACTTGTTGTTCAATGAATGAATCAGCGGCAGCGTTAGCTAAGTCATCTTGTCCGGATGAGGGAGAACACTCCAGTTTTAAAGGTTTTTGATTCAGTATCCGCCGGTGGAGAGGAAGACGGAGACCTTCACTCCGTTCGAGAGATAAAGTGAAGAAGGAAATCACTGCATTTGGTATCTCGGCCAATTTCAAAATATATTATAATGATTTGAAATGCACCAAATTTGTTTCAGTTGGGCGCATTGTCCACTTTTTATACCAAATCCCTCCGTAGTACCTTCTCTGTACAATTTGTTGCTTTCGACGTTTTTCATTAGAGTTATCACTTTTTTTTACATTTTTTCAAAATCTTTCCATTTCTATCATATCAAGACAATTTAGAAAGAAATGTTCCGAATAAATTTGGTTAATATAATTTTTGAACTTCGCGAGCCACGTACACTTTTCAACATTTGTTAAGACATAGAAAACGCTCCCTACTGATAACTATCTATACTAGTTTCAGGAATTACAAATAATATTTAGAACAAAAGTTATATACTCGCTGCAACATGTCGCGCGTGTATAAAAATAAGAAAAAAAAAAAATTACCTCGGTGGTGCTTCAGAAAATATGGTCGTACGACGCTGTGGTAGATGACGAAGGAACCATTCCTTTCGATAGGCAGCATACACCAAATTAAGAATGCGCACTAAAAAATACAAAGCAAAATAGAATATATTGTAATATCTCAAATATTCTAAAAAAAAAAACTGTTATTCCAATAGTAATAAAAATATAAAAAAAACTCGTACATATAGATATGCATTTTAAAACTCTTCTAGCTCAACCTTTGTTTGCAATTATTATTTTTGAGTGTTCCATTTTTTGTTTTATTCTGAATTTGCGAACAAAATATTCGAAAATCCTGATATTCCTTTTATGGGGAGAGATAACTCACATGTTGTCCGACATATGCAGTATAGTCAACAGGAAGTTCGAAAATATTTATATTAGGTATAAAGGGGCTCATGTAAGTATTGACCCGATACTACAATCAGGAAAGTATTCTCTCAATTTCAATTGTATGTCCCAAAAACTGTCTTTTCTGTTCAAAACTATAGGTACTAGGGTCCACATATAGGGCACCTCGGGGATTTGATGTCTCTGGCGTATTTAGTTATTGATTTATTGCGCTTTTAGTAGTTTTTAACAGAACCGTTACATGGGGAGTGAGCGGGATTATCTTTCGATTTAATCCAATTCCACACTCTCGGTAGGACTTCTTATAATATTGTTCTGGGCGAATTTGGTTATTATAGCTTAAGTGTTTTAGGAGACATGTATGTATATTAAAGTTATAAGAGGGCGAGGCCAGAGGTATTTGCGGTTTCTACGATTTCAATTTTCTCAGCACATTTTATATGACAAAATTTGTTTCTTGTTTTTACTTAAATTCAAATATATTTCATAATTTTAAGTAAGTAAACAATAAGTATTTCATATATTTGTAAAAAAATGTAACCATTACATATTGCAGCATATCAACTATTTAATAATAAAACATATCAATTAATCGCGGCCGCAAAAAACAAACATTTTAACCGTTTTATACTTCTGCAGAAATTTTAAATTAAATTAAATTAGGTGAGCTACTATTTTAAAGATTTAATGATGTATAAAAAACTGAATATTCTATTTGAAATCGCAAAAGTATAATTTAAATATGGAACTCACCTTAAGCAACCAGTAAAAAGGTATGACCGAAGTAAGAAAACCGGAGAAGTATTCAATTAATGACAATATGGCATAAGTCACCCAGTAAATTAACCATCTAGTATCGTCCAGTTTTGTACTCGACTCTATGGCATGTATGGAAATGTAAGCAGGATAGGCAACGCCAATTGTATTGCACAGCAATTGTGCACCATATCCGAAAATTAAGTACAAGGCACAAAATGCAGCGGCGCCTGAAATATTTTTGTATAAGAAATTATTAGTAACTAACACTCATACACTATGTATCTGAAAGCATATGTAAATATGTAAATAAAATAAACCTAATTATTTTTTTTATTAACCAATTGTAATAGTTTTATGCTCTCTATACATTTGCAAAAGCTTTTCTTGTAACGGCTCGAACATTTTCCTTGTTGCTTGCTAACGGATAGCGACAAATTAATTTGATCAAGTGATTTCTGCGGATTGCAAAAGTATTATGTTAGCACGGAATTCAGAGAGCGTCTAGTCGTAGAGCGTATAAAATATTTTCTGTAGATTTTCATCTGTGAAGATGAAAGTTCAATGAGTTATAATATAAACGATCAGTTGTACTATTTCACCGCTAATTAAAATTTCTTGTCTGCTTTGCCACGTAAATACATAAATTAAATGTGTCTTAACAGCCGCTTGTCAGTAAAGTGTAGTGAGCTATTGAGCTAATGAACGCTTTTGTAAAAAGAAAGAACAAAGGTAATATTCATGATACCCAGCCAATTGTTTTGTTCATCTTATTGATGACAAAGAAATTCAATCATTATTATTTTTTAGCAGTTTAACAATCCGAAAAAGAAGTTTTTCAAAAGTAAAAATGAAAATTGCCCCATTATTTTGTATCGACATTTCTATCCATCTGATCTACATTTTTGCAATATTATTCAAATATTGAAATTAAATTTACAGTAAATAGATCTCAAGTTCATGTAGAGAAAAGTTGGTAAACTCTTGTATATAATAAACAAAAACAAAAAAACAGTATCGTAAACTATTTTTATACAAACCAGTTCCAAATGTAACAACGGGCTCACTGAGAGCCTTTATATGCTTTTCACGTCTTCGATAATTTATAAAATATTCCCAAATCCACATGTTGAATATCTTAATCTTAATGTAAATTTATTTATTTTTATGAAATATAATTATAAATAATTACATTACATTTAGCAAGGCAACTAGTAACTAAGACTATCGGCCTTCTTAATGTAAAACTTAGATTCAGCTCTGCATTTATTTCAATCATTTATCTTTGCAAAAAACCAGGATTGTGTCAAAAACAGCGAAAATAACAAATTGGTAATGATGAATAGTCAGTATACTCAAAAGAACATATTTTTGCCACGAATTAATTAATTTTTAATGGGCTGATAAACACTTATCACTATGACGTCAGCCAATTGTAGGGTGTTACCGATTTCATATGCACCTATCGGAATAAAGATCACAGAAACGAACATGTGTACGAAACATAATAAGCGAATTAAAATACATCGCTTTTAAATAAATCTTCTACCTTACTATGTTTGCAGATCTTTTAACAAGAAATAAGAGAATGAAGAAATTATCAAATTATGAGTAATTCCGTTTTACCATGTAAAAGTCAAGAATTCGATGTAAAAGAGAACAATGGAATAATTAGAATTCGTGATATCAAACTCTTCATGTATGCTTCTAAACGTCTTTTTAAGATATACTTTCTGTACAAAAATTATATTTAAATAATAATACTATTTTTAATTCTATTACTGTCTACGTTGACAATGACATAGCCATAACCATCGTGTCATCAACCAAGCGGCAAAAACAAATCAGCTACATCCTACTCACCCAAAAATAAATATAATCTTGGAACGTTTGTTTTTGACTCGACAATTTCAAATGCTTGTGTCCAAGGTTTGCTTCGGTCGTTGAGAGCTTCTTCAACCGATTTTCGGTATTTTTCTGCTAATTCCTGAGCCTTCTGTGCCATCTTTAATTATGAAATATTTTGTTGTTTTCAATTTTTAATATAATTTTCGCAGTCGCTATTTTACTGCTTCTTATCTGCCAGGGAGTACGATGCTTCCAATTTTCCAAAATCTAATTTTTCTTCTTTTCTGACGTTTTGCTTTCGCACAGTCTCTATTGACGTAAGCAAATGAAATGCCAACAGTGATGTTGAAATTATTATAATTGGTCTGCTTGAAATTAAAATGGAATAAAAATTTGGTTGAATATTTTAATATTTGAGTTTGTAATTATGGCGAATAAATTGATAATTTAATAATATTGAAGAAATAATGTTTGTCCGTTATTTTAAAATAATTTATACTTTGTAATTAGATTCCTAATAAAAGAATTTATTGATGATTTACATTTACTCGAAACTGAACAACTTTTTCCTAAGTATGCCTGCAAGTACATTTCTCGATATTATATGGCACCATGAAGTGTTAAATTCCCTTTAAAGTATTATATCTTGTGTCGATTTTACATTATGTGATGATATGTCAGATGTTTATTATTTTTAGCATACGTAATAAATGGAAAAGAAAACTTTTCTGTTATAACATTTAATTCGGGCATGAGAGGTTTAAAACAACCATTAATTTAAACAAATTAGATCACAAAAACATTTTATGAAAATAAGACTTTGGGTTAATTCCGAAACCGATTCGGTACTGAGACAAAATACTCCAATTGACAAAATTTTTTTCAATATTTATTTTCAAAAATATTTCCATTATTTTATTCTTGTAAGGTGCCTAATTTTGGCAAAGATTTGTAACGGTTTATTTACTGCGTATGAACACAGTCTAAATAATTAAAATTCTTTCTAAATTAGTTTATTGGCATCACAAAAGGGGAAGTTTAAGTGGTAAAGAAAGTACTCTTTTGTGCTATGCTCTTCAAATATCTTTTAAGAGTTATTGGATCTTTTAAGATTAAAGTACTCATACCTCATATGACGAAAAGACATGCCTATCAATTTGGCTGTGATCTTCGAAAAAGGTTTAATATATTTTTGCAATCATTCACACCCAAAAGTATATAGAACACAAGCAACTATGAAGGAATTTCTAGAAGAAAACAAAAATATTTTAACAAAACTAAATTTATATTTTTTATATGCGTATTATGAGCGTGCCATGTATAATAACAATTATTTAAATTCACAAAACTAGACTCTTTTTGACATCTCGAATGGTAGAAATTATTCAACCAAGAATATTGAGGTTCTTTTTTGTTGACATTCTATACACATGAATGTATTCGCATTAACCTGCAACTACATAACACTCGTGGTCTTATGCGTAAAGGTTACTAAATATCACATATGGAACCACGGGTTAAAGATGGTCGAGGAGTATTTTCTTCGTTTTCAAGCGCTGTTACTATTATTGTTGCACATGATTTTTTAAAAGTGGCAATACATTCATTACTTCGATAAAGAGTGATAAAAGAAGTCCTCGTGTAAACGCAGTCTATGGCGAAAGAATTGCTACTTTAAAGCAACGAAACAACAATTTATGTGACAAGATCTCTAATAGTTAACTTTATGTTTAGGATATTGTAATTTAAATTCATATGTAATAAACACACACATTTATGATTTCAAATTAAATATAGAGCGCTTTAAAAATCGCTGGCTCGAAACCGATTTTAGACCCATAATCTTTTAGCCAAAGTTGTTCAGAATGATCCGTAGATCATTTACCGGATCATTTATCATTGTAAATCAACCCGCTCTAATACACATATATATATAATACAGAGATATTTATTGATCACTTGACACAATTTTACAGTGTTACTTTCTGTATAATACCAACTCAGTTCAAATTATAGACATCTCTCTTGTCTTGATTCCTTTCGTATTTATAATAAGGCAAAACATATTTAATTATTGCTGCAACAGGGTATTCAATAAATAATGCAAAAACAAAAGCAACGGCTTGTGTCAATACAAACGCAACTGCAATCTGGCAAATCTGTAACAAATGTTTTAAAATTGTTTTTAACTTCATAATCGATATAATACGATTACCAAATAAAAGCGATTTATATAAATTGGTTGCCTATAATAGCCGCCAATTAAACGTAGTACGACCAAGTGCCAAAGAAACGATTGATATGATAACTTGGATAAAATCCGGAAACCTGGAAGACGGCAAAACTCGTAGACGATCCCTAGAAAATCATTTTGCATTAATGAACGGAAATAAGATTGTACCCATGTATCTGTGCGACCCACATCCTAACTTCAAGCACATGCCTAGTATTGCTGTGCTGCATAGTAGAGCCCACGCATTCCGATAAAAACTTGCAAATAAAGCTATCCAAATGGATGGCTCGTCGATTTCCAACGACATAACAAATGCGGCCACAAAAATTAAACCAAAACCTATAGGAAATATTAGCCACCAACTCAATTCATATTTTAGTAAACCACGATATTGCTTCGAATGGTTTCGTAATTTCAAATATAATTCAGCAGAAATTACGCCAAAGAAGTAACCGCCAATATTTGTGTAGAAGGGTGTATACGTTTGGTAAAAAGTTTCGGCATCTCGAAAAAACATATAACGGTAGTTCCTATTATTGAAAAATACTTCGTGAAAATAAATAAGTAATCATGTAAAATTTTAAAAAGACTTACTCTGGATTAGTATGGTATATTGGTTTAAGTTTTAAAAAGTAGGTTATTAATCCCGTTACCGAGGACATTAATACTAAAAGTATTGAATATACAAATAGTCGAAATTTCGGAAATCTGAAAAATTGTAAAAATAATACATATACATATATCCATACACACATAAATACATATATGCTGATATGTAAATGGTATTATATTTTATTTAATTTGACTATTATATTTTTAATTTTATGAAATATAGGTGTAAAACCTTTCGAACTTAAATGGTTTTAAAATTAATCTGCCAATATACACATGTATATCATTTACTTACTTGTTTATAATGATTAATACTATAAGGAATAATTCAAAGAGTTGTATATCGGCAGCAAGGTACCATGTCTGATGTGAGCACTGAGTACGGTGTTGATTATTGAATTGCACATTTGATATACATACGTATATGTGTGTACATATGTAAATGATGAGAAAAAAATAATTCGATGTAAAATTAAGAAAATATTAATATACATATGTATATACGTATACATACACTCTCTTTAAGAAGATAATTATTCACAAAAAGTAGGTTCTGCCACCACAACTCGCGACAAAATACGCGCTCGGCTTCCACATAGTGCCTCCAGAATGGTCCATTTTGTAGCCGCACAAGCACGGTAGAATTAAAAAGAATCAACATCATTAGAGATGGTAGAAGCCTAAGTCAAATGCCTTCAAGAATTAAGATAAGCATATTACGCAGATAAATAAACAGAATTACCTCAAATATCGGTGAAAGAATATTTTAAAATATATAACGACGCAATCAATAAGGCTAGTATTGCTGTTCACAAATTTTCTTTCGTTGAAATTTACATAAAGTAAAAAACCGCTCATTACAAAAAATATTTGAATTATTGCTGCTCCATTCTCCAAAATGGCTGTTTCAGGACGATAAAAAAACGTTTCATAAAAGTGCGGATTATCCACTTGCACAGCCATGAAAAGTATCAAAGAATGTACGAATAACACCAAAAATACTCCAATTACACGTAGGCCATCGAAAAACCGGAGATCTTCTGCTGTTTGCCTGCGACTTCTTGAGGAATCACAAATATGATAAAAGTTGCGACATATTGAAAATGAAACCCATAGTTGATGCTCTGAAATGTTCAGTCTTTGAGTTTTATATGGTTCCAGAAACATTAAGGCACAAAATATAGAGCATATCCATTTTACAAATAAGTCGAAAAGAGACTGCTAAACTTTTGCTGATATTCGAATAAGGAAAAGTAGGTTGTGGCATTGATACCGTCCATTTTTGTCGTGAATAATCAGAATAAGATAATTCTGCCATATCGCTAATTTATATACATAACTACGTCAGAACGTGAGATTACTTGTTAAAGTTGAGGAAAATGTGTAGTTCAGTATAACTCGATTTGACATAAAAAATTCTTCATATATTCGATTTTACTAAACAAACACAAGCAAAAAAAATCCTTCAGATGGTGCAGACTTTATACTAAAATATGTTGCGAACAAATTAAACTTGGTTTTATTGATACATTTTAGTTCGCGTTAGCTAAAATTATATTAAATATGTACATACGTATGTAATATTAACTCGACCAAAGAGGCTAAATGTAATATATTGAATTAATGAGGAAAGCGTCAACCAGAGGATCAAAATACTTTATATTATTGATATATGGTTTACAACAAGATATAGACCAATTCCATTCTAAATCTACGATAAACTACATAATTTGTAACTATCACATTCCGACCAACTTGACCGGGCAAAGTCAGGTGGTAAAACTGAAAAAATTAGATGGGGTTTTTAAGACAGAAGAGGCTGATTGAATTAATTTGGATATTTCGAACGTATTTTCAAGGATTTTGTCAAAATCA